CAGTTATAAGTCACGTTACTAGGGCAGAACCACACAAGGTGGATTCCACAAAATATAACTGTGGGTAAACAACATTTAAATTTTTTTTTAAGCAGCTGATGGTGTTAAGAGACAAGACAAATAGTGAAATGTAGACTCATCATGCTGATCACCTGAAATGAGTCACTCTTTTTTCTCAGATTCATGTGAAGCCCATAAACATGCAACTTTGTAAAATAACAAAAATGTGCTGACACTTGGCTTTTTTTTTTTTCAAGAAAATGAATGTACTGTATTTTAGTTTGATAATGTTTTTATTTAATATTTAGTATTTTTTGGTGATTTTGGCACTAAATTACATTTATGAAATAGATATGACCTATTTATTACCTGTTAACCACTTTTTGAGCATAGACCTGAAAATTAAATTTCCAACTTAAACTGTCGTAAATCTTGACTGCTTTGGAGCAGACTTAAGTTTGGTCTATTTTTGAAGAAGACACTTGGCAGATTATTGCTGAAGTGAAAAAAAAGTAATAGGAGTTTAAGTTTATTATTATGAAAAATGCATAATTTAAAAATGCAGAGGGGTCAATAGGAGGGTCAATCAGGAACAAACGCAAATGCATTTAACACTGCTGATTGTGTTGTCGCATGCACAACAATGTCAGATCCTGAATATTAAATAGCTACTTAATAAATAATACATAAAAGTACCTGAAATATTGATTTGAGCTGAATTTGTTTTAATAGAAAGAGACCGAAGAGTAATATGTCATGAAACTACACTCTCAGACTAAAAGGTACAAAGCTGTCACTGGGGCAGTATCCTAAGGTACAGAAGCTAAAAGGTCCATCTTTGTACCTTATTTACCCCTAAATGATACAGATTAGTACCTTTTAAAGGATACCAGTCCACTGACAGATTTGTGCCTTTTTTCTAAATGTAGCTCAACTGTGAAGGAAAACAGTTGACTGGTAAACAGGTCAGTTATACAGATTAGTGCTCATTATTCATAACTATTTGACTGCACAAGTGTGTTTAATCCGAGAGTGTGTAATAATGATATATAGTAATATATCAACAAATGGGAATATCTGTATGAAAATTCTGTTTGATTACCATAGAAAGTAATTTCGATTTTCGTCACTTGTTCCACTTTCTGAAAACAATCCAAAAGTGTAGAGAGTTGGACTTACAGTGGAAGTCTGTTTTTCATCTTAAGCCCAAAGAATATTTCACTTATTACAAGTATGTGAGGGTCAGCGTACAGTGCGCATGATGAGAATTTCGTCATCAGAATAGTACATCGCACATGCGCATTGAAATTTTTTTTTTGCAGTAATCAGTTTTTCCACAAGGTGGCAACACTGTGCTGGGCTGCATTTCTCGATAACGATTGATCTTAGCTCTTAAGAGCATTTTCTACGAGTCATATTACGATTGTTCGTTATTGTTTCACATGCGTTTCCCAAAAATACACTTAACACAATCGCACGTAGCTGTGCTTTAAGTGCTACTTAGGAGTCGCTATCCGTTTGTCAAGTGCTGAAATGTCACCTTATAGAATGGCTCGTAATTGTAGTGCACGCTTGTTTTTAGCACTAATTATAGTATATAATATGTATATAGAGACGCTATTTCCGGGTCCAATACATGGCTGGTTTTTGTGCACGTCAGCAAGTCATTAACAGATTTTTTCCCCCAGTCTTTGAAGCATGTTTCCTACATTACTTCTTTTATTCATTTTTTGTTTAGTCATTTAATTTAGATGTGTATTTCTATTTTTCTGCCCTTTTTAATTATTTCATTTATAAATTATTAAAAAAAGAGTAATAAAGTGTACAATAAAGTACAATCAAAACCTTATATTATAATCACATTGCACTTGAATAAAGTTAAAGGTGTAATCTGCCGATTGTCCTGCAAGTGACGGCATAAATCTGTCTTCTTACGATGGATTTAGGGCTTTACGATTACTCCAGAGCACTCGTAGTTCTACGATGATTTTCAAGTGCTACTTAAGTAACGATGCTTTTGGGAAACAGACCGTAATATTAAGATCAGTCGTACGATCGCTTTTACTAACTTTTTAGGCTCACAAAGCTTTTGGGAAACGCAGCCCTGGGCAGTTGTTTCACAGTAGAAGATGAAACTAAAGAGACGGAACAACAACACCAAATAGCAGAGACTGCAACAACAACAGACGGCCACATTGACATACACTTCTGAGCGAGAGGGAATGGGATAGCCCAGTTTTGGTTTAAAAGAGTTAAAAAAAAATTGTTATCGATCATAAATGATGGGGAAAAATAGAGCAGACACTTGACATGGATGAAGTTTTCAAAAGCGCATGTGTCGATCGCCCGCGTTCTCGCACAACATCAAATGGAGTATACTTTGAAAGGCTACACGTTCGACTGTACGCATACACTAGCGTACGCACACAAAAACGAAGTATACTTTGGGCTTTAGGGTATGCTTACACAGCAACGATGTGCTAACAACATAAAAAAGATTTCCGCGAAAACGATTAAAAATGCTGTATTATCCATGCCTGGCCAGTAGTTGGCAATGTCATTTTGTAAAGAGAAACTACACAAACACGTAATACGCAGTTGGTGTTTGCACGACAACGTTTTTAACATTTTCTGCATTCATTTACACGACAATGGCCTTATGAAACTTTTGAAAATAGGTTTTAAGTTATTGAAAATATCATTACTGTCTACGTGTAAACTACAAAAAAACATGAATTTGTGAAAATGGTGACGACTTGTGCAAACTTGCTTTCACCATCTTGGGTGTTTGTTTTTATCGCTCTGTAGAAAAATGCACATGTTTGCAGGCACGTGGTGTTTCTTCAAAAATGTGACATCGCCAACTACTGGCCTGGCATGCATAATACAGCGTTTTAAGTCATTTTCGCGGATCCGTGTGAACTGGGATTGTTTTGACAATACTGTTGTCTGAAAAAAAACCTTCATAATTTCTTTCCTTTTTACGTAGCAGCATAGTTTTGGTGCTTTGAATGATGTGCACATAAATGTAAATAAACTCAATAAACTGTGGCATGAATAAGAAGCTTTGTGTCAACACTTTCTTAATTGACCCTTCGCAAAGACCCTTAGTTACTGGAGAGCAGGTTACTTTTGGTATGAAACAAAGTCTCAGCTTTCAAATTTTGTAATTTTTAAGAAATTCAAACAATAAATACCATTTTGCAGCTCTTTAATGTGTCGTGACAGATCGCTGTAGTGCTTCAGTCCAAGCAGCACATGAACCGATTATCTCTTCCTCTTTACTATTTATAACACGAAATAAACACGAATGAACATCAGAAGGTATTTTGTTTCAAAGACGTCAATACACATCATTTTTCAAGTTGAAGTCCAACGACGTTAATCTACTCTCCTGTCTGGTTTGTTTGTCACACAAAAATGGCAGATTCAGCATTATGACTGGTCAGATCGCCTGTCAATCAAACTCCCTACGAAGGGTCAATTACGTTGATCTTTTAATAGAATGTATTCAAAATTCTACACATCTGTCCTGAATATTGAAGAAACACTAAACACAATGAAATTTTGTATTTAATGTATTATTTCTATTTATTAATTGACTGTTGAATGTTTTGTACATGAGTGTTCAATAAGAGTGTTAAGAGTTCAGATATCATTGACACTGTGATGATGAGTCATTAATTTGCACTTCAGTGTAAGCTGCTATTATTTACAGCTTGTGAAGGTGGGGCCTATATTAATTATTATACCATCATCAATGGATTTCCCTCAGTGCAGCCACACAAACTCACCCACCTCTTCCTGATTAGCTTTGAAAAGAAGTGTGAAAGCACCCAGCTGAGCTAGTTTCTCATACGAGACAATGTATAAATATCTCTACTATGACCTTTATATACTAATGTAAACTGTGTCAGTACCACAGACACCTCTGACACCCACATAAAGTGTCTGTTTATTGAGATAAATTTCCACAAGTCAAGAGATATTGTACATACCCAAGGACTAGTTTACACACAAGAACTGTCATTATTTACTCACACTCATTTTGTTCCAAACACATTTGACTTTTTTTCTGTCAAATACGAAATGTGAAAGCCTTGACCACTTTTTATGTTAATCTGGATCCTCTGCAGTGAATGATTGTAGATTATAGACTTATATATTGGCCAGAAGTGATGGCTTAAAGTTAAAATGTCTTGATGGATTCGTTTAGATTTTTTTCTCAAAATTAAAAAAAAAAATTCTCGTAATTTAACGAGTTTATTCTCAACATTTTATTTTGACTTTTTTCTCGAAATGTACCGACTTTAATCTCGAGATTGTTTAATTGTTTTATGATTGCTTGGCCCTAATCCTCTTCCGTATATCTTTATGTGCACAGTATTATTATATAACAACAAAAATGAAATTTTACTATAATAAAATTAACCTTTTCATACTTCGTATACATTCCAACCCAGTTTTCCTCTGTGGGCTGTAGCATTCTTAATAAAACCCCAGTATTTTCCCCTTTAACCAATTTAGAAACTTGGTTTACATCACGGCTATATTTAAGGTGTAAGCGTATGTGGTATTAGTTTCCTGCTTTATGGCGTATATAAGGGTTAGAGTGCAGAATGAGATCATTATCTCTAGAAATCATCCCTGCGAACAAGAACATGAAACTGCTAAGTCTTCTCGTCACACTGCTTGCTCTTAGCTATGCGAACTCGAACACCGCTAAAACCTTCTCTGAACTTCTGCGCAGGCTTGAAAGACTTAAGAAGCATCAGTTCAATGTAAGTGAATGATTTTTGCATTAAGGCGTGAGAGAGAAAGACTTGTGTTTAGGTAGTGGTTGCTTGCCATACTGATCATGCTTGATTTAGTTCTTAAACATAGCTAAACACCATGTCTAAAGAGAGAAATATTTGTCGTTGGCTACTAATATGGACTAATAAGGGTTAATATGTTGCACACATTCTCTGATATCGTCTGACTTGTGTTTCAATTTCCAGGCACTCAGTATATCAGAACCAATCCAAACACCTCGAGATGTAAAGAATGCAGTGAGTATTTTGTGTCATTTTCTCTGTATTAGGCCTACAGGACATTGAAACAATGGCAAAAACAAATATAATAATAAATTGCATGAATGTATTCTTATGGGGATTGTTTTTTTTAACCACAGTGTGAGTGCAAGGACTTATTTGCAGAACGCCTGAAGCACTTTCTGAAGTCAGTTAAAAGTGTAGTACCCAAAATCCAGTTTGCCAACATTTTGGACAACCTGCAGCCTTTCCCTCATCCTGGAGTCAACGTAAGACGTTTGTTTTGAATTATTTGCACTGTCCATTGGGCTATGTTTAACCCCTGACCTCACCATGAATTCTTGTTAAACATTTTCATCATTTAACATCTCTGTTCAATTATAGAAAGAATTCTGTGTCTTAAAGACAATGCAGTTGTGCAGCATAAAAAGATGAGCTAGTTTTTAAGTTTAAATAATGCAATGCTTATGTTTTGTCTTTTGATTTTTTCAGGCGAATGACAACTGTAACTTCACAAAGCATAACCTAAAAACATTGACATCAGACGATTTGAAGAAGTTGATTCAGGATAACATTAATTTCATCCAAAACTGGAATGCACACTGCAAACCAAATCATTAATAATGCAAGTCACAAAAGTAACTAAACGGACGCCCTGCTATAGAGATGTAAATTATATATTTATTTGTTCAAAATGTCTCTTTTTTTTTTTTTACTCAATGTCCATATATTTATTTATTCTATGTATTTATTTATTTATACCAGTCTGTGTTGGTTGTTCTCTATCCTCAAACTTGTTTGTAAAATGGAATGTATCTAATTCAAAAAAGTTAGTTACTGTCTTCATCACGGGAAGAAAAATGATCATTATACTTTTTGACAAAGTTTTGACTTGTATTGCAACAATACGAACACCATGTTACATTATGATCCACAGATTTTATATTGAATTGAATTCTAAATAAAGGGAATATTTTTAGATCAACTTTTTCTGTTGCCTCATTCATGTTTGGTCTTGATTTCCATGCCGACTGTCAGAAAAAAAATCCATAGAAAAATGGAAAAGGTAATTTACAGGTAATTTTTTTTACTTTCCATTACATTTAGGGACATTTCCTTTAAACCTACAGCACAATGCAACACAATGCATAAGTCAAAAATAGGGAAAACCTTTTTCAACCACCTATGACAAATCAATATGGAAAATTCCTTCACATAAAAAGTACATTGGACCCTATTTTGACAGACTTTTTTTTAGCTGCTAAATGCATTTCAGTCTCTTCAGTGCATGGCAATGATATATGCTAGACGGATACAAAACCTCACATTAAGTTGCAAATGTAACATATACACTTAGCAAGTCTGTATTGCTGCGGTAGTGATGTAGTCAATTAAACTGACACAGCTGTGTATTGTTTATCTTCTCTTGGCTGTACTGATGGGATGTGGTGCATCTTGAAGGAGGCCGTGTATACAATATTAAGCCTGATGGATAGAAACAGACAGTCCCGCAGCTGCTGGCAGCATCCTGACGAGATGGAGCATCCCTAACAACACAGGAATGGAATATTCAGGAGACCAATGACGAAGAACATCCAGCTTCCAGAGAGCGTTGCAAGACTGTTATGCCAGAAATTGGACTTCCTGTATATGACGACTTCAAGATCAATCAGTTCATGAGTCTTCCCGTGAATAAGATGCACTTTTGTGTCCTATTGGTACACAAATCCTTTCTTGAGGCGAGAACTATTAGACATGTTAAACTCATATCGAAACATAAAATTAATGTAGCATAAAATTTAGCTAGTTTTAAACATTAAATGCCTGAATCCCCCTTAAATAATGATTTTGTCAACCATTAAAAAAAACATATCACAATGGGTGATCACATTGTGACAAGAATAGACATCATTTATACCATTTCTGAAGACAAAAAAATAAAATGTAAATATTAATTAAATTAATGTATGTATTTATGTATGTATGTTCAATTTATTGAACAAACTACTTACAGGTATTACTAGAATTGACATAATTTGTACTCTTTCTGAAGTCAAATAAAAAAAAATCTAAAATTAAAATTAAATAAATATTAATGAATGAATGAATAACTTTGTAGTTACGTAAATAATTGATTATTAACATTTTCTGTAGGCTATGCACCTCCTTACACTGACCGTATTTTGTACCCTATCTGTGGAAAGTGCCTCCACAGCTTTATCTGAACTCTAACATTATGTAGACTTAAACATACAGGCACCTTATCTGGACTCTGTCCACTACCACAAAGGGAGCCATCAGCTGCACTGCAATTACTTTATTTATAAACCCCATCTGGTTAGAACTGGACTAGTCGGAGACATGGACAAGACACGATGCAGTCACACAATTCACTACATACGCTCATGTTATTGCAACACTTAAACACATTCTACGTAAAATCCATGCATTTCACAATTTAGCTGGTCACTTGCCTGTATTGTTTTTTTGTGTGTGTGTCATCCAGACTTTGTAAGCCACAGATGTGATTTTAGGCTATCTGTCACGAATATGGACTGTCTGTGTGTGTTTTCCCTCGTGTATGACATGTCCATATTTGGTTTTTCCGGTTCCTGTACCCATTGTGTGTTCATTGTTTCCAGGTGTGTCTCATTATTAGTTCATCCTCCTCACCTGAGTTCTAGCCTGTTCCATTCTCCCTGGTCCGGTATTAAACGTCAACTCCGTGCTACGTGTGTGTCTCCTGGCTATCCTGTGTGTTCCCCATGTTGGAATATTAAAGACTGTTTTTTGGTGTTAACTCCTCGTTCCTCGCTCCAACACAGTAGGCGATTGTGACAGAATAACAAACCTTTAAAATAGTTTATTTGCGTCTTCCCCTTCGTTTGTTTTCCGTGTTTTTCCCCGTGTTCCCCATGGATCCCCTCGCTTCCAAGTTCACCGCCCTAGCCTGGCTACAGAGCTCGCCACGGGGGAGAGCGTCGTGGACAGTGAGAGCGTGGAGAGGAGCTCTGCCCCCTGCACTGTGGCTGAGGGTGAGCAATTAATGGATCTGGGAATGTGGAAGGCTGAAAGGGCTCCTGTTCCTGAGTTTAGCCCAGAGTGGGCTCCTGTTTCCCAGTATTACCCAGAGAGTGACTTAGTTCCCGAGTTCAGCCCAGTCGTTCCTCTGTCAGTCGTGCTGGGAGTTGCAATTTGGTGTGTGTGGGCAGCGCACACCAGCCCTGAAAGCCCGGAGGCTCACAAATGCTCACACAACCACCCGCTCCTGCCATCCTCCACCACTTTCGTCTGGCAGCCCCTCTGCTCGCCCTCAGCCCACCATCTGTACGGTGCGAGCTCCATGGGTCTGCCATCCTCCATTGTCACCGTGGCTGGAGGATCCCCTGTCTCCGCCTCCAGCCTCTGAATCCCGGACTCCACCTCAGTCCTCCGACCCACTGGCTCCACCTTGGCTCCTCGTCTGGCTCCCCCTCTGCTCGCCCTCAGCCCACCATCTGTACGGTGCGAGCTCCATGGGTCTGCCATCCTCCATTGTCGCCGTGGCTGGAGGATCCCCTGTCTCCGCCTCCAGCCTCTGAATCCCAGACTCTGCCTCGACCCGTCGGCTCCACCATGGGTCCTAGCTTCCTCCTCTGTGCCCATCAGTCCACTGGCTCCGCCGGGCTCCCTCGTCCCTCCGGCTCTGCCTTGGTCTGTCGTCGACCATTCATCGCCTCGGGACTCCACTCCTCTGGCTGCGCCTCGTCCCTTCGTCCTTCCGGCTCTGTCAGGCTCCTCCATCCCTTCGTCTTCTCCTCAGTCCTCTGTCGCTCCGGCTCCACCGCGGCCTTCCGGATCCCCGCCTCTGCATCGGTCGCCGGCGCAATCTGCGCTGCCTTGGCCCTCCGGATCCTCCTCGTCACCCTGGCTCATCGGCTCTCCGTCTCCGCCTCCGCCTTGGGCTCCTCTGCCACCCGCTCCGCAGCTGTCGGTTGGCCCCCTGAAGTCATCAGCCCTTCCTCCTCCATGGCTCCTCCCTCCATCGGCTCCACCATGGGTCGTCATTATGGCTGTGGCCTGGGTCCCACCTGTCATCTCCCTGGCTCCTCCTGTTTCCTCATTATCAGTATATTATCAGATAAGCTCATTAGTTAAACATTTTGCATGCATCAGAATATATAGAAAATATGCTGTGCTGGCTTTTAATCTTGCTAAAATAATTTTGCAATAATTTTAGTAACCTGAGATGCAGAAATTAGCATTTTAATAAACAGAGTCTTTGAGGAGGACCCCTAACAAGTGACACTAGAGCTATACTTCCCCAAAGAATGACACAAGGGTGGTCTGTGCGTTCCCAGTGTCAGACAACGAACAGATTATTGAATCCACAAGTGACTTGCAATGTTTTATCAGAGGAAATGTAGATGTTTATTTGAATGTTTGTTTTTTTTGGAGGTCTTGTTTATTTTAAAGAAGCTGTACAGTAATAATGTTAAAGCGCTGGGCAAAACTGCAATATAGTGGAACAAACGTTGTGTATTTACTGCAAATGAGTGGAGAATATTTTCATCGTTTCATGAATATAGGAAATATCACTGAATAAATGACCATCTTAGTCATTTCCAATAAAATTCTGTGTAATCTGAATCTTGATAAATATCTATCTCATCCTCTCCACTCTCATTACATTTCCTTTACGTCTTGCCTTATTCATGAGACTTCACATTTTTTTTCCTAAACAAGAGGGCAGATGGTCAATCATGAGATACTGAACATGTATATTGTTCTGTGGTACTTGTTCTCTTCAAAGCCTCTGATTCATTATTAAACTGTGAAAGCTAAACACAACGGCTAGCAAAACAGATGGCCGTAAAATAAAAACGCAGATGTGGCAGAGCGCTCGTTTACGGTCATCAAGTAATAGATACGTTATTGTTGAGATTGTAATTATGTTCTGAAAGCATATGGGAGCCTCGGTCCCGGTACAAAATAACACTGGATGTGATGCAATGTGTCATGTGATAATGTGGAAAATGAAACATCGAGAAGCTCGGAACGTCTGCGGCGAACTGAATGTAATTAATTGTGATGAGTCTAATTATGTGGTCGGTTTTATGGTAATTTTGTGCTTTCGCAAAACACATCATTTGGTGCTGTTACTTGTATTTCAGAGTACTGCATTTAGTGTGGTGTTTAGAGAGAGACACTGATTCAGTGATGTAGCATTACAATGTTGAAGTAGAATTAAGTGATGTTTAACTTATTTGGCAACTGATGAGAAAGTACATATGTAAAGCAAACATCATGGTGTTAAAGTTCTTAACACAAATTAAAATGTGGTTGTTCTTTCTTTGTGAACATTGTGTTTGTGAAGCTATGCAAACCCTGCTCTAGAAAATACATCTCTGGATTAATAATTCCTCAGCACTCCAGCTCTTATTCTTCACTTGATGAAACTTGAATAAGAAAACAATAACAGACGGCAGGAACCGTGGCTCTCAACCTCTTAAACTTTCATTTGTTACCGTCAAGTTCTCTTGACACTGTGCAAAGCTGGCATAAATAGAGATAATAAGCTCAGGCTCGGCTCAGAGAAACTGGGGAGTCAAATAGTTTTTGTTTGCCAGCCTCCGTGAATGTGTAAGAGTCAAGCTCTCACAGCAGGACC